GACACAGACACAGACACAGACACAGACACAGACACAGACACAGACACGCACGCACGCACGCACGCACACCTACAATAATTACACGTACAATAATAGCCTGCCAAAAATCTAATTTTACTTTTTTATTTTATATTGTTTCTTTCTTTTGCAAATATTGTCTGTTATCTTAAGTGCAAGCTTTATCTTGTTAAATAGCACTTACAGTAGAAGTGTTGTATGTATTGTACCCGGAGGTGGGAGCCTGGAGATCTGAGAGTCACACAAGTTAACACCTAGTATTACCCAGTCTCTTACCAAGGTTTTTCTTTTCTTAGTAAAAATTCAAGTTATTTTAGACTCTCGCCTCTCCCATTATTATTATTATTATTATTATTTGCTCTAAATATCACAGTATAACAATCAACTCGATCTTTTTCAGACATTCCAGGTCCAAATCAATACGTGACTACGACAAGTCTACAACATACACTATTCCTAAAAGGGCAAGGGTCAAACTTCCTTGGCAATAATGGTTACTACAACCATTATGATCAACCATATTCAAAACCTTATGATGATCCTGACCTGTCAGGATACTATAGACCAAATGGTATTAATGGACAGACGCAGATATACACATATGGAGGTGATGAGAACCAGCAGGGTTGGAATTCTGGTGAGCAGTTTTAGACTTAAGACAGATACAGTTTTATCGTTACCAATGTTTGTTCATAAACAAGATGACGATACCGGTGGCCTAATGTTTTGCATTGTTGGCGCTGGATGAGGAGGTCCCGGATTCGATTCCCAGTTGGACCAATTTGGGCAATAATAATTTAGTAAATAAATATTAGACAACATTACATACGTTGATCCGAGCCCAAAGTAAGTAACCAAGGCACTTGTGTTATGGGACTCGGAAACAACGAACGGTACCACAAACACCAAGTCCGGAGCCAATTATGTATAAAAACAGTTAATTTTTAGTTGGTCAAAGTTTAACGCGACTGTGGCCGAACGGTTACCATGCTGGTCTGTCACGCAGAGGTCCTGGGTTCGATTCCCAGGCCGGGAAAAAGATTTGTATGGCCTAAATTTATTTCTCTCATAATTTTGGTTCCGGAACCACGACTCGACCATTTGACCACAGAGATCGTTAAAAAATGGACACTTCAATATTGGTTCTGGTCTGGATGTTCTGGGAAGTGCCCTATAGTGAGTTTCATTGCTCCGGAACTCATAGTTCAGAGTAATCCCTAGTTTGAGACCAGGCAATTGACGTGGTGTGTTGTCAGGCACATTATTTTAATATTACTTGTATCCATTTTAGTTTCTCGATCTCGCCTCCCTCATGGCCTAAAAGATTAATTTTGAATTTTTAAATGGGAGAGGCGATATTCTCCGGCAATGGCACGGTAGGTCTGTGTCAGGGACTCAGATTGAACTGGTGAATAATACGTGCCGTATCAAGCAAAGGCGGCCTTCTGCATTTGGACCGTGATCTGGCAATCGGTACTATCTCAATTATAACAACTTTACATTGACTACAATTGAAGAAAAAAATTATTTGCGTCATTTATTAGTTTTTAAATATTTTTATTACATTTTGTTTAATAAACCTTATGCTACATACATGACGCAAACAATTTTTTCTTCACCTGTCAAGTCAATGTAAAGTTGTCAAAATTGAGATAGTACCGGTTGCCAGTTCACAGTCGATTTGTGCTAGAAGCGACACATCACAAAAATCCAACCGCTTTAAGCTGCTAGCGAGACTGACTGGAATAACCCGTTTGCGGACCAAACAATTGGGATTATTTCAGTGAAAACCACCTCACACAATCCAGTGATCTCGTGCGCCAAGTTTAATTTTAACTTAGAGCAAATAAAACTAAACAAAACTTCAATTTATAACCAAATAATAGTCAAAAACGTGGAAGTTATCGCGTTTGCGGTTCTTGTAAATAGTCAGGCTTTCATTGTCTTCATCATGACGAAGAATGCTTTCGGGTATTTGGTAGCACCCGCTCGAGTTGGTTGCAAACCGTCTCGAAACAACAACTGTAGTAGACACTTCGCGTAATCGCAGCCTCGATGAAGTTGGTAATGTTTTACATAGTAAACAATCCAACCAACGAGCATCGGGTTACCCAGCCACCGCAGCGGCAGCCAGAGCCCCAATACTACCCAGAAGTCATCACGCAAGCACCAAGACCTGCCACAATTCGGCCACCGTCTCCGCAATGGTCACGTCCTACCCAGAACTTGTAAGAGCATTGATAATTATAACTTTTTTATTAAATAAAAAAACAAAACAAAATTAGAGGAATTATCTACATCTAAATAGATATGCCAAGTTTTATTGAAATCGGTTAACGGAAAAGGGGTGAATTGTTTTCTTCAAATTCGAATAGAACCATTTCTGAGATACCCACTTTCCAATAAAAAAAGAATTATCGAAATCGGTTCACATATGTAGGATTAATCATGTAAAATACGCACAAAAAATACAGTCGGTTTGATGACCTCCTCCTTTTTTTGAAGTCGGTTAAAAAATGGGGTTCACCAGTAACGCATTTCCGGATATTGTATAGTCTATGCCCTAAGATATCTGACCCCTCACTGACTATTAAGTAATAAATTAATAATATATAATAAACAATATAACATCATATAATATATAATAAACACTGACTAATAAACATACTTAATCTTTTACCTGTGAGCCGTCAAAATTAATTTTCATATGACTTCCTTATTGCATCATTAATAAATGAAATTTAAAAAAACTTTTTAAGTCAATTTGATCTTTAATTACATTACATAGATACTATGTTCAATCAAAAAGCTGGAATTCCTTTACACTTTTCTATAGACTGCGTAAGAAGGCTCTCAAAACCAAAAAGTCGGTTAGGGGTCATAGATCTTAGGAAATCGACTGTATCTGTACCTACCGATGGATAGAAAGTACCAAAATGCAATCTAACAGCTCTATTTATAAGTCTTAGGACAATTTTTAATACTGATTAATTCTACCGGGAGTCGGAAACTAGACACGGCAACACAGAATAAGCGCGGCGTCAGAACTCCACTACAACCTTGAATATATATTGGGGCAGTTTTGTAAAGAATGGAAGTAAGGTCCTCTAGAGCCTTGAATATATTAGAGCAGTTTTGTAATGAGTGGAAGTACATCTTTGCAAAAGTATAGAAAGCTTTGCTTCATAGATTGTATTTGTTTCAGAAACAAAGGCTTCTAACTCGCAATAGATTTTTTTGGAAAATTTACACTCAAAATATTTTTATCTTTTCAGCGGCACAGATCAATCATGCGGCATTATATCCGGTGGCAACGAGCAACCCCTCATCTACAACGGACAGAGTTATAATAGGGGAGACTGGCCGTGGTTGGTCGCTATTTATAAGAGAAAAAATGGCAGTCTCAATTTTATCTGCGCTGGAACTTTGGTATCTGGACGACATGTTATCACGGGTAAGAATAATTTATCTAACAGAAAGTACGAGTGTCTTCTACTTCACTTAAATTTGGGAGCTATGTCGGTGTCGTTATTCATCGTCAGTCTATGAGACGTCTCACGTGGTACTTGTGAACATCAATCTGGATCTACTGCTACTCTAATGATGCCGTAATCCGTATGTTGTCCCAGTCCATTTTGGGGACTTCACACGCTTTCCAAGGGCTGTGGGCCACCTTCTGTTAGTGTAGTACATTTCACCCAGTCGTCTGTTTCCCGTTAATGTCCCAAGCGTGTTTGATTTCGTGGTTCAGGTGTTTATTTTTGAAGTTACAAAAGGAAGGAACCATACCTACTTCTAGTGCACCATAGTAATAAAATTCAATTATAGTACCGGCACGCTATTATGGCCGTTTTGGCGTTTGTCCGCCCATCAAGTTTCGTATTAATACATAAGTACGTTGAAGGACCTAATTGATGTACCTACATTGTTGTCAATAGTGACATGCAGTAAATTTATGGATGTATAATTTTACGACACAGCTTGTTTTTCGGAATTCAAAATTGAAAATAATTGAGAAAATGAAATCTTGTACGATCGTCACTTATAGGATTGCTGTCCAGCACAACTTCCACTTCCAGCAAACTCGCGTCAAAGCTAAATGAAAAACAAAGCAGTTTCGCATTGACGACATATTTTTATTTTCGTTTTATTAAAACTTTTTAATCAGCTACCCCTTTCAATACTAGTTATAAACATAAAAACTTATAGATGCGTCAGCGCATTTGATTATATTTTTTTCGATAATGAATTGAGATTTGACCTCACTATTATAATCTGTCAAAACGGCCATCATAGCCTGCCGGTACTGTAGTTTATTATTAACATTGGTATAGGTACGTCATAGTACAAATCAGTATTGGTGTTAGTATTATAATGATTTACTCTATATCATAGTTAGTTACATATATATAGGTACGTATGTAACTTTCTCTATTTGTAAAATAGTACTGATATAAATGTTTGTGTAGTGAATTATTGCCCGCCCACTTAAGATAAAAAAATTTCAACGCTCACCGCCACAAAAATAATTGAAAACACGTATTTTTTTATATTAACTTAACACAAAAACAAATCACAAGGAAAACATAATATACATAGATATAGTGTAGTTTATAATACATAATTCAGGTTTTTTGAGACAACATCAACCCTCCCCAATTGCTTCCGACACCCCCGCCGCCGCCGTCCCCTAGGGCTCTTCAGCGCCCACTGGGGGCGGTAGGGACCACTTTGGGAAATGTTGTATATTGTAATTGTTGTAATTTTTATGTCATTGAATAAGTTACGTTTAATGTTTTGTGTGGTGAATGGTTAATTCACAAAAAGTTTTAAATGGTTAATGGTTAGTTAGTTCTTGCAAATTTTCATTCAGACATACAAAGTACTGAATAAAATTCGAAGTTTTCTGTACAGCCTCACTCTTAGACGATTATCGCGACTGCTAAATAGGGAATATTAACTAAACTAATGAATAACTCACCTAATTAAGTCGAATTTTTGCTCGACATGTGTTGAACCAGTTCGTGGTCCTTAATCGTGACTCGTGAGCTTCCGAGGCGCGGTGACTCGACGAACCTGTACGCCAAAAGCTGCCTGCGAAGCTGCGGTTCGATGTTGCTATTGAAATATTTTATGTGTGTTATAGAATAATATATTAATTTAAATCTTGTACTTTTCGCATTTTACAGCGGCTCACTGTATGCGCCGAAAGAACGTAGTAACATCCCGAAAAGACATCGTGGTCAAAGTCGGAGTATACAATCTCGAGGACTGGAGTGATGACGTCACTGTGACCAGAACTCTCGTTGCTGCTTACATTCACGATTCGTACGACGACAGTATTCTTGCTAGTAAGTTTTTTTTAATGGGATAAGTCATGCGCCTGGTGGTAAGCGACACGCCTGTCCATAGCAGTTGCAGTGCCACTCAGATATTTAAATCACAAAGATCAGAGGCTCACTGCCACTGTGCCCGTCACATTGAAACACAAGTTGACAAATCCTGTGTGCCTGTAATTTCACCAGCACCCTTACCCTTCAAAACCGGAACGCACAATACTGTTCACATTACTTCCTAGTACTTCCTTGGACGAACTCTTTCACAAGGAGCTCTACTGCAGCTTAAGTAGATTTCACTTTACAAATGATATCTAAAATCTAAGTATCGCATATATTCGAGTGTCCTCGAAGCTGGTTATTGCATTGTTCATTGTAATGTATTTTATTTTATACGAGTATTTTAATTCCTCGCTCGGTATACTGGAATCAAAGGTTTATAAATTTTGATTATGAAGTGACATTCTACATCAAAATATTTAAAAAAATACCTTAAAGTTTCAAATAATATTTGACGGAACGTTTTCATGATAAAGAAGATTCTCAAAAATATTACATTTACTTGTTTCCGAAAACCCTAATGACTGTGAAGCATCGACGTTAGTAAATAGTCTAATAATCAATTTATTTCGGCGTGGCTTTGAAAAGTAAAATGGATACGTCAGTATGTTTAAGTTTATTAATATTTGGGTACTCACGACAAGTAGTTCACAAAACAAAATATTATATAATCAACAATAACAATTTATAAAATAATCAACATATATTATAGTAAAATTATTCAGTGCTCAAACATCAACAATTATAATTAAAATAGGTACCTCAAGAACAAATAACAAAATCACAGATTGGTTCTTAATTATGAAAAATACTGGGATTAAAAAACTTAAGAATCAAAATAAAATATAAAACTTAATACTAATCTGTAAGGTACGGTCAAAATTTTGTTGGTCATCTGACCCAATTTTGTTGCCCAAAGAAATTATTCCACCATTATTTTTACTATTATTTCTAAATCTCTCAAACAATATATTATCAGAACAAATAACGTTCTTAAATTTTTTAATTAAATAGGTTCATGAAAACGATTCCTGTGGCAAATTTAATACCCTAATTTCAACATATTAACTATTAATACATATACGGTATAAAAGTGGCAAAATCCAAGTGTATTACGAATATTTATTTCATTCATTCTTTTGATGAGTATGAAATTTCCAGGAAACTTCCCATGCAATTTATGAACATTTAAGAGAAGTTACGGAAATTTACTTATTTATTCCGATTTCTTCAAAAAAAGTATTTTGGTTTTAAAACCATGATATAGAACTATAACTTTTCTTAAATGTTTCTTGAATATGCGATAGTAAAAATGCAAAGTAAATATGTAAATTTCCATACATTTCGCGTTTTGAGAATGTTTCCGAAATATTTCAAGAAACATTCAGACTGGAAAGTTTCCAATTTAGGAAAGTTTCCGGCTGCCCATCACTAGTCACGAGGCGAGGCGAAGGAAGATTTCTTCTCTTCCTAGATGGAGCTACTTTGCGCGGAGTGGCAAGATGGGAGACGCAAATTATTTAGGGATGTGGGAGATTTCCCGCGTTATAAAGTACTATTCAATATCCATGGGAACATGGGGTCGTACTATTTGTAACCAGGGCCACTAATGTTACAAATTTATTATAATATAACCAATATGTTAATTTCAGATGACATCTTATTGCTAACTATGGATCGTACAGTGCAGTTCAGCAACTACATAAGGCCAGCGTGTCTTTGGACCGGCAACGCGGACTTGTCTCGCGTTGTCGGAGATTCAGGAGTGGTGAGCATTTAATATTTGTCTCTTGGCTTAATGCTTTAGTTTAGTTTTTTAAAGGCTTTGGAGTTTGCCTACATGGTAAAGAAAGGGACAAACTTTCGATTCTATTTCCATTGTATAATTTTTCTCTAAAATTCCATGGTGTTAAGTAATAGAAACTGTGATTCACAGTTGTAATACGAGTAATTGTTACTACATAATGTACAAACAAAAAGCACTAAAATATCCAAACCAGCATGTTTAAATAATTTGGAAATAAAGAATTTTTATTCGTTACATTTTTAATGTATTAGAGTAAACGTACAAATTTATGAAAGAATATTTATATACCTAATACACTACATGTAAATGCGAAAGTAACTCTGTTACATTTTCACGTTTATGCCGTTGAACCAATTTTCACGGATTTTGATATAGATCCCTTAATAATACGCTACTTTTTGTTACAAAAATAAATCTTAAAGGGGTTTAAATGTGGGATGAATTTTTTTAAAACAGTCAAACCAATAAAACTAGGTATGAAAAATTATATAGTACCTACAGTAAGCTACTTAAACTACTTATGCTACGCATACGAAGTCGCGAGAACCAGTTCATTTTAATATACACAGTGTTTTTTTTAAACGATGAATGATGAAGATACAAAGAAACTGTCAAGAACCATGAGGGCTCTTTTGACTATGCCAAAAACAACTTTGGCATAGTCAATTTTTTATGGAAGAGCTGCTTCTTGTAATCATTATTTTTAGCTTCTCTAATTTGATAATTCTCTTTCGGCATTCTTTTCTATCCTCTTCATCGTCCTCGCATATTATGCTGTCCAAACCGTTTTGCTATCAATGGTATTGGTCGATATTCCATCATTAAATATAATGGATATTATACTTGGTTAACGAAATGAAAGGACGACCAATACTGTTATACCTCAGTGATTGTATCCACTCGAGCGGATAATTCCGATACCTCCTCATTTCTTTCTTTGATCATTTCGGTTAGATCATGATAGAATAATTACTCGGTTTTACGCTTTTACTTTAATAAAGAATTCCTCGAAATTAAATGGATGCGCGTTCGTAATTTATGCTACCGTTGATTCAAATCCGCAAATAAATATTTCAGCATTGCCCTTTGATTCGCTACCGAGTGTAAATGTATTAAATTAGAAATGTTTTGCAAAATTACTGTGAATGTAATGTTTATTTCCATATTCGCGGAAATTCATTTGCTTCTAATTAATACCTATATTACTTGATTTATTACACGTCTTATCTTGTTCTAATTACGGTATAGTTATAGGTAACGTTTTAAATATAATTAAAATCTGTTCATATTTTTGTATAATATTTTTTGGGCTTGTTATTTCTCTAAATCATAGTTTCCCATAGTGGTATCTATCTATCTGGTATAACTAGTACTCAGTGGGCGCTGAAGAGTCCTAGAGAGGTGGTAGGGGTAGTGGTAAGCAACTGAGGGGCGTTGGTGCTACCGCATTTGAAAAAAAAAGTTGAATTATCTGTTTATACAACACCACAAATATTTTTTTCCTTGTGATTCTCCATAAAAATGAATAAAACTGATCAAAATTTGTTTAGTGCTGTCCCGATTATTTTCTTCCAATACAATGAAATCATTTGACTACACTGCCATTGTATAATTTGTGTTTACTTCGGTACATTTCAAATCTATATAAATAAAAAAATATAATTTAAAGGGTCATTCTATATAGAGCGTAGGTATACGTTGTCGATATATAGTAATATACTGCATTATAATTAAAAATTATCTTTGGTACGTTAACAGGTAGCCGGTTGGGGTCAAAGCGAGGACGGCCCTGCCGGTCACGGCGAACCCAAGATGGTCCGCGTTCCAATCGTCAGCACGGCGGTCTGTCGAGCCAGTAGACCCGAATTTCACAAGCTGACGTCTTCTAAGACGCTGTGTGCAGGTATGTTGATGTTCTCACACTGACGACAAACACATAGAGTGGCTTTCGAGATAAGAATCTTTGATATCAAACTAAGCAAAAAGCTCGTTTAGCCAATTTCTAAAGTTACAAAGAACATGTAGGTAGCTAAAAAAGATGTTATTGCACTTGAGACCAAATTCTATCGGAGCTCAAAAATTGGTAGAATTGGGAAAACACGATTAGAAAGTTTAAAAAAAAATGAATGGATCCTATTACGAAGAATGTGATTACTTATTGATATTTAGTTATCCATTTATAAACGTGAATATAAATTTATTGTTTTCGTTCAGTAATAAATAAATAAATAAATAATACCTATTTAAAGTTTCATGTGCGTATGTGTTCGATTTTCTACGAGTAATTTTGTCAATTTGTATACATCATCGTCTTCACGTATACTTCCCACCATTGATCACACAGAGCATCTCTTTAAAACTTATTAAAATAATTTATTCTAGGTGACAAAACAGGCACAGGACCGTGTTCAGGAGATTCTGGCGGTGGACTGTATCTTTTAGAAGGAGGCCGTTGGCGACTAAGGGGTATAGTTTCGCTCTCTTTAAAACCAGATAATGGAGACCGTACGTGCAATCTCAACGAATACATTATATTCACCGACTCAGCACAGTACACGGATTGGATACGAACTGTTATGTCTTACTGATTTGTATAATTTATTATGTTGTTACATAATGTGCCAATTTCGTTATTTAGTGAAACACTTAATTTTATATAATTTACACAAATATGTAAAAATACGTACAAAATATATTTGCTTATTTACGTAAGTAATGCAGACGATATTGTTAGTGTAAATAAATAAAACAATCGAACTACAAAATTTTTCTTTTAATCGATTTTTATAAATTAAGAGCACAGCAAGCTTGACGCTTTGAACTTGGAACCATTCTCAAGGTAAGCGACGCGGAATTGAATTTAAATCTGTAGTACCAAGCATGATGTGTTCTTACCCCCCGTACCTAATACTTTGAATTTTAAATTCTAATATTTTGAAATAGGCTGAATAAGGACTGGATTTCGTGACTACTCCTATCCTGCCATCCTCTAAATTCATTAACCTGCATTGCAGTCAGCCGCGTAATGCAGGATTATGACCGTAGTCACAGCGGGCAAACCATCCTGCAAGCCTGCATTGCGTTTTGCGAGATTTCATACGCAGGATAGTGTGTGAGAAGTCTCTAGCCTGCGCGGCGGACTGCCAAGCAGGTAGTGAATAGGCCGTTTAAGCTCCTATCTTAGGTAGCAGCAATTTTGACAGGGCGGGAATTTAAAGGGAAAGGATGCTAAAAGTTTTCAAATTCAAAATGTTTAATGATTATATTATGTTTATATCTCAACATATACCTTGAGATCATTGTATATGGATATAAGTAATGATATGACAACAAGAAGGAAAGTTTCTGAAAGAAGGATCAAGATATAAAATGCAGATGGTATGGAAGCATACAAGAAGAAATACCTACTGCCGTGTTAAAAATTCAACGTCATTGACTAGCAAGTGAACCAAGTGATTTAGTAAAAACATGAATTATGACTCCGCCGCTTAAAAGACTATTTAAAAACTTAAAGTTCTTTTTGTCATTTTACATTTAATTACAAATACAATAGAAAATATTTTATGATGATCCCGAAAACTATGAAGACTTGGCTCACAAGACTTGCATCCAAGAGAAAAAACCCAATTTAAAAAAAGGTAATTTTGACAATTGGATTTGACAATCACAGCTGACGCCAAAATTAGCCCGCGCTAGCAAGTAGTTTGTGCGCGCTAGTAACGGGCGGGAATCACGATTGGTGTTTATTTTGTATTTTAACCTAGATTGTTTTTATCAAACCAACATTTAATTATTAATGAAATGCAGTGGACCAAACTATTATGCAACTACCGAGAACTTCAACTAGTTGGAACACTGAACGGAGGTCAAAGTTTTAGGTAATGTAGAATAAATCAAATGAAATTACTATAGTACAAAATTTTCTGTTGATTATTGCCTAAAAAAGAAAATACGTGATTTTTAGGTGGACTTACAACAAAGATACAGATGAATGGATAGGCGTATTCTCGAAAACAGCATGGAAATTACGTCAGAAAGATGATTATTTAGAATATCAAGTGCTCGGTTCTCTATTGCCAGAATTTTCGGGAAACAACACACAAATCAAGAATGGAAATGCGAAAACGTGTGAAGAAAGCATTTTTAAGTCACTGCTTGAGAAATATTTCCGGTTAGACGTGAATTTAGGGAGTTACTACAAAGAATGGTCAGCTAAGGACGAACTTTTTAAGTCTGCGTGCCAACAGTTTTATGGGATAAGAATGTTGAATCAAGAGCCGGTCGAAAACCTGTTTTCTTTTATTTGCAGTCAGAATAACCATATATCAAGGTGATTAAAGTCCGTTTTATCATAGCATGTAATTTCGAGTTTGCAATTTGTAATGAAAAACAAACAGGCCAAAAAAGAGGAATGTTGATTAAGTGACATTCAAGGAGAAGGAAGGTTTAAGATTACCACGTTAATAGCTTCTAAGATAGTAATTTTAAATGAAATTGTGTATAAATATATCTCATTATTTATACAAATTCGTAGGTCTGTAAAAACAACCTGCAAATTGAACTGTGTTAAAATAACTTGAGGCCAGGAACTGTGGGAGCCATGCGGCATGACCATGCAGAGAACAATGTTAGTGTTGTGGCAGAAATCAAATACCGTCTTTGATGCATATGGAGCAAATTCATTTTAAAAAGAAAGAAAATTTTATTCAGTACCATTCATTTTAAATTATACTTACAAAATCATCAGTTCTCATATTGATGGAGCCATAAAAATAAAAAGTGAAGTGAAGTACTTACAAAATAAAAAAGATAAATTAAAACTAAAATTAAAGATACTGAATGAACACTACTCAGCGTATGCCATGGCTGAGAACAGCCACGAGGTGGTACTATGTAGAGCCCATGGAGTGCCTTACAGGCGCACCAAACAACACCACACACGAGACACTGACATTTTTGTATACGCAATCAAATACACACAATTAACGATTAGTGTGTTATGTAATAACTAAATATTTTATTTCTGATCAGGAATACGCTACATTATATTGAGAAACACAGTCTGAAATCAAATTGTAGAGAATCTAAATAAGATTGAGTCAGATTTGGTTTCATAAAAAGTAAATTTTTTGTTTTGCAAAATACCACAATTTTATTAAAGAATATTGTTAAAAAAGGTTTGAAAATTGCACAAAATTACATTTTTAATTTTATTATTGAGTTAAAAATAAAAAAACTTTTACTATCAAAATTTAAACAAACATGTAGGTAATGTTTATGTTACATGTGTGTCAAAAGCATGAATTATTGTTTTAGTTTTTTTTTTTAAGATTTTCGAAAATCTCAAATACATTTGTTTTTCTGAAGCAGAAAATCAGTGCAGAGCTTTCTAATTAGGTCTCTATCTACTAATAAAATACCATCCAATTCAACAACATCAGGTTTAGTGTAGATAAACTAAAAAACAATTTTCTTGAATTAAAGCATAAAATTGATTATCATAAACTCGTTGACTGTCATCAACAGTCAGCTTATATATTTTTTAAAATATTATTTATAATTTGCCGTTATTTTTAACCGACTTAAAAAGAAAGCAGGAGGTTCTCAATTCAACTGTATTTTTTTTTGGATGCATGTTATATGCTAATTTGTGAACTGATTTTGACGATTCTTGTTTTGTTGGAAAGAGGTATATTCCACCTCTAATGGTGGCAACCTAGGGCATGAATGACTTTTGAGGTCGATTATTTTAGTACTCTGTACTGAGATTATAACGTATTAGCATTACTATACAACGAGGGAGACTGGGATTCAATTCTGCCCTAAAATTGATGGAGCCTAATGGCGCTTTTACCAAGTCGACAGGCGACCGTCTCCCCGGGGTAAATACTGAGTCTGACGAGCCTAGTTCGCGGCTTAAGTCGACCAAAGCGACTAGGACTAAACACCATGGGCGACACGGTCGCCTTCGGCAAACGACAGTCGACAGAACAGGTTTCAATGTGTCCGCGGCCGCGCCCAACCGCGATGAGAACATTGGAAGCCTTCGCTTCGCTTTCGGCAGACGACTCGGTGTGTAACCGGCGAGTCGACTGCGTCGTAGTGTTGCACGATTTTTATCTTTGAATCGATTTTTTGATTCGTAGGCTTCTTAATCGATCCACGCATCGGATCGTATGCTCTTGAATCAATTTTATAAAAATTGTTTCAAATTCGTATTTGTAATAAAACAGCTTTACATTATATGATTTAATTGCTATAATAATACAAAAAACATTTTTTTACTTCTCACAGATGCCAATCCTTTATATCTAAACTTTTCAAAAATAATATCATATAACTTAAAAGTCCAAAGCATTGTCCTACACTTTATTTTCCGTTTCTATACTTGACGAAACAAAGAGTGGTGTCTCTACATATGATTACCAAGTTCGTGGTATTACCTTTGTTTTTACAACACATATGGTATATTTTGCATTTTCCTCCATTATCAGTCTATAAATTTGGACCACACACTGTATTTAATCGGTAGAGTCATCTCAATTACACACGCAATTAATCACGACGAAAAATAAATGAAATTCAGTTATAAATAAAGGCTGATGAATAAATGTTTCATCGTTTGCTTACTACCATAAACAATGCGGAGAAGCTGAATAGTATCTGCAGTGGTCTGTAATAGATCTTACTTCGTAGATAATGTAAATAATTATCAATACCTATTTACTGACTGATCCTAACAAATTAATAAGACGAGACGATTTTTAAAATTTAGAATACGATCTTGACCATTCAATTCGCTTTAATGTTGAATCAATTCGCTTAAAAATCGCATTGAAATGATTCGATACAAAAATCGCTAGATCGTATTCACTTGAATCGATATTCATAAAAATGGAATCGTAATGTGCATTCCTACTGCGTCGCGACAGGCGTTCCGATGTAAATGCGCCGTTACTTCAATATTTATACTTTTAATGTATGTTAATCTTGTAGATTTATGCTTCAATCCATAAATAATATATGGAAAGACGAAGGCGGGCGCTCCTAACATGCCGAATAAATCACAACAAAATAACTACTCATGGTCCATGGACCGATCGCATGTTGCAAAAGGCGTTTATACAAATAAACGTGAATATGTACTTTAAAATTTTTATTTGCCATTGTTATCGCCGTGCAGAGTAAGGATTAGAGATTGTAGCAATGATTCAAAGAATCTAATTAGATTCTGTTGCTGATTTTCTGCAATTAACATTAATATAATATACATAATGGCATTGATAATTTTTAGAATCTCCAGCATGGTAGAAAAGCTGTGTACACATTATGGTGAGGAAATCTGTCATCATGAAGGAATCACCTACTATGCATTCCCTGAAGTAGAGAAATTGTCAGAAGCCAAGGTATGTATAATGCTGAGCAGTACTCTATTTGATATAAGTAGGTCGGCAAAAAGACGAAATTTAGTTAAAAAAATCTCTCACTAGATGTACGTACTAGCGGCGACGAATGCCGAAAGCCAGTACAAAGACATATAAAAAAAAACACAGGACTAAAGATGAGAGAGAGTAAAGAGTAATGCTAGGTGCAGCACGGACGTGGGTTCAAGTCCCACCGGGTCGACGAATTTTTTCTGTGTTCGATCTTTGTATTCCTAATCATATTTACCACATTGTTCTATTTACCTTTGCTTTATTTATTCATTTAATTCAGGCAACAGTCCCATATAGTCTATACCTTGATAGTCCTAAGGTATATGTTAGTGGATACATACAATATAATAAAACTTTATTTATTTACACATATGGACTGCGACATGTGACGCAACTTGGCTGTCCGATAACCGTACACGGAAATTTCAAAACATTTTTTTATATAAAAAATAAGTGCGCATTTGACCTCCATCGCACCTGATGGAAAGTGACGAGGAGGTCGAGGATGTAGCATGCACACCTAAATAATACCTATTCACTCTCGCCTTGAAAAGGTCCAAGTTATAGCCTTCGGGGAACAAGTCTGCAGGCAGCTCCCCTCCCTAGCCGCTCGCCATATAAATGTGGAAGCGAACCGCTTCGTGCGACTCCGGGGAATATCCACAACACCCCGCCCACGTCTAGTCTCCCGATGATGGAAAGGGGAAGGCGCCTTCAAATTAGGCAATTCCATCGCACACTCTCCGTGATATATCCTGTAGAATACCGATAACCTGGCAACTCTACGGCAGTATTCAAGGCTCTGCAGCTTCGCCTCTACTAGTTCCGAGTCACCTATAAGCCTCTTAGCACGCTTGTCTATTGAATCCAAGGTGGCCAGTTGGTATTTAGCAGAGCCATCCCATAAGTGGCAGCAGTACTCCGTACACGACCGGACTTGTGCTTGGTACATCTGAAGCAACTGTCCCGGCGTGAAGTATCGCCTGCCTAACCTTGGAAAGGATGCCAAGCTTCTTGGCTGCCTTTTTGGCCATGGATTCAATGTAACTGCCGAAGTTCAGATTGGACGACAGATCCATTCCAAGTAGGTGAAGACGGTCGGCTATCGGTATGGATATATCACGAAAAGTTCTGCGTTTGGTAGCATTAAATTTGACAAGATTGGCATCGCCCCCATCGGAGACTGCCTTAAGTGTCAAATTCAAACGACTAACCATGGACTCTCGACAAGTCTGGATTTCTTCTCCACTGACCCTTGCATTGGTCAAGTACCTGTCCATAACTGTGCTATCATCAGCATACCCAAAGGTACCTGGAATCAACATATCGTTTATATGCAGCAAAAAGAGGGTTGTGGACAGTACAGAACCCTGAGGAACTCACGGCATCTATCGCCCGATGTTCGGAAGAGTAGACTTCTAAGACCACTCGAATCGTACGTTCACTCAAGAAATCCGAAATCCAATTGCAAAGGTCAGTGGGAAGCCCATAAGAGGGAAGCTTGCTTAAAAGGCTTGCGTGCCAGACCCTGTCAAAGGTCTCAGAAATGTCTAGAGACACTGCAATGGCTTCGCGTTGCTCTTCTATAGCCTCGCTCCATAAGGAGAGGCATACACGAGAAGATCCCCAGTAGATCGCCCTCTTCGGAATCCGTACTGGCGATCACTGAGAAGATCGTTGTCTTCAAGGTACGACAGGAGACGGTAGTTAAGTACACGTTTCATAGTCTTACAGAGTATGGAAGTGACTCTCTGCAAAGAGTGAGGCGAAGAGATTCACCTTCTCTTCCGCAGAATGAGCTACGACCCGTCTGGCCTCAGTAGAGATGGTAATGAGTGGCTACTAAAGTTTTTTTCGACCGCTTTGGCCAGGGACCAAAAGGACTTGCTGCCTGCTGGAAAAGAGGCAAGCTTGGCCTCTATGCGGCGCACATGGTCGAACTTGGCCCTGCGTAACACACTTTTGCTCTTCTTGGCGGCTTTATTAAAGGCTTTCTTCAGATTCCGAGTATTCGGAGCTTTACGTAGTCGAGCATCTGCCCAAGCTTGGTACGCAGACTGTTTTTGTGCTTCAGCACGACTACAGTCAGCGTTAAACCATGGACAAGCTTGGGGTCCATTGGGTACATCGAAGTAAGGTGTATAATACTCCATGCCCAATAGCAAGACCTCAACTACAGCATCAGTACAGCTCGACGAATCTCCTGAAGTAAAGCAAGCCTGGCAGGGGATATGAAGTTAAAAAAGGCGCATTTTGTCCTAATCTGCTAACCTGTATCGCCACACCCGTCTCTTACCACTGGGGCCCTGATCGGGTGGGGAGTATACGGATACAGCTTTCACCAGACAGTGGTCAGAGGTACTCAATTGTGCATCCACAACCACCGAGTATAGGTCTGGATCAACAACTGAACTGAGAAGCGAATAGGCAGGAGGAAGGCAGTTGAACGAGGCATTGCGTCGTCCAACCAAGCAGCAAACTCACACTGCCACACGAGGGTACAATCGGTTTAGAGACGGCGAGGACGCCCGAATCCCCCGGAGATGGCCACCTGGTCCTCCCCTCCGGTCGCCAACCGGCAAGATGGTCCATTCCGGGATTTTTCGTTGGGTGGCGGGGCAGCCTTTCACGGGTGGCTTTCCCGCTACTTGGGCCCCCAACTTCCCACTGTCGGCCAACGGTGCACCGTGCTTCGGATCCTGCTAGCCTCCAGAACCGAGTGCTCAGTGTGGCAGTACAAGCAGCTACTACTCGTCGTTGGACGCAATGCAACTGTTCAGACCCGACCTCCTATTGGCAACTCCCGAACACGAGCCGGAACATGGCTAAACTATTTGGCGACTCGACTGCGTCGGGAGGGTGGTTACCAGACACGGCCGAAGCCTACCACCTGTAGTTGTTGCTCTTTAGCACTACCCAGGGGTCACTTGTAGGGTCTCGAGGGTAAATTTTCGGAAGCGAGCAACATCTACCACCAAAACATGGCACTCTTCGGCCAAAACTCCTTCATGAAGGTCGACAGATGTTGCGTTGGTACTCTCACAACAAATCAATAAAAAAATTCACGTTCTGGAGGCACCCCAACTACACCCTCAGGGTTGCATTGGCTTTCACCCATATATACTCTACAATATCCGCAGACGTTTTGGAGTAATGAAGCCGTGATATGTATAACAACATCGTCGATGATTAGGGCAACTCGGGGCGGTGCCACTAAGGTTACGGCTGGTGTACTTCTTTTTCCGTTCCACCTTTTTGAAACCGTACGACGACGTACTAGCCAACTCGTCTCGGTGGCACTGACGACTCAGCTGCAGAGATGAGTTCCCATTTCTTCTGCCCCTTCGTTGATAACTGCCTGGGTTGTGATGGTGGAGCAATGGGTCTGCTAGTAGCGGCAACAGCGGCGTAATCATAACGTCGAAGGATAACGTGCTTACGCGTGACTTTAAAAAAATTGTTTTTGGATGAAACAGGTCATTTACTTCTACTTACCTTGACCTACCTTGTATATCGATTCCTTACTTTCTCAAACTCGTATCTCATAAACAGTGATTATTCAGGAGATGGCAAAACTTTCTATTTATTTTGAATTTGTTATCAAGGGTGTTAATTTGGATGCATTACTTTAAGAATAGGTAAAAGCCAGTGTGTGAATATGAAATCAGCCTCAAAATTTGAACATACAATCCATTTTTTGCATTTCGGTAACTTTGTGCTTTAAGATACGAGTTTGTGAAAGTAAGGCATTATATGAATATTACTGTGTTATTTTACTCAGCTACCGACAGTTTTGCATCCGATGAAACAACCGAATGAAATGCTGAAAGTTTCGACAAATCTTGCTGACGTAATACACTAACCAACCAATTAACTACTAGTTCTACCAACTTAATTCATATTTTACCGAAAACTATTGTCAGCAATTTTTTTGTCGTAAATCACCTGTTATAAATTCAAAAGCGACTTTTCATAAAAGATGCTTGTCAAAACTATTCTACCGTCGTCATCTGAAATTTATACAGATTTTTCCAACTTATTATAAATATACAATTAAATTTATATTGAATTGATTTTCAATTATTTTTTGTGAAATTACTGTGGAGTAATTTCACACATTTTAATTTAACTAGTGGTAGTTTGTTATAATTATTAATACAAAGATCGAACATTCCTTCGATCCTAAAAAGTCGTTGAAAAACCAAATACAAAGATCCGACAACAAACACATAGACAAATTCATGAGGTCCACTGTTTCGTTTTGTGGCTTAGTTGGCTTAGCGTTTGGCACGGTTTGCTAGAAGACGTCGGTATGAATCCAGCCGGATTGAAAGATTTTTTATTTTTTTCGAAAGACCACGTTTATATGGTCTGTGAATTATAACAAACTAGTGGAGTAAATTCACAAGAAATAATTGAATACCAATTCAATACAAATTTAATTACAATTAACAGCGACACCTCTAGCCATGGCTGGTAGCTGTAAACTGGGTGACTAAATACTTACATAGATTTCTCATAAATGGCGCTACGGCTAACAAGTCGTTGAAAAACCAAATACAAAGATCCGACAACAAACACATAGAAAAATTCTTGAGGTCCGCTGGATCGTTCCGTGGTTTAGTTGGCATAGCGTGTGGCACGATTTGCTAGAAGACGTCTCGGCTCGAATCCGGCCGGATCGAAGGGATTTTTTCTAAGTGTTAATAATAGTAAATATACACTTTTGTAATGGAAAAATTCCAGGTTGAGTCCCAACTGCGTGATCTGGGTTTTGGCTACCGAGCAAAATTCATACAGAAGTCTGCTTCTCAAATATTAGAGGCAGGAGGTTTACAGTGGTTCACAGCCTTGAAAGACATGAAGTATGAGGAAGTTAAGCAGGAATTGATGAAATTACATGGAATTGGTCCTAAGGTAGAAGGATAATATTATTTGATCCTCAAAGATATAATTGATATTTTGTAAATGTGCACTTTTTTAAATAAACTATATTTTATGTAGTCAAAGTCAAAGATTATTTATTCCATGGGTAAAATAAATTTACACTTGAAAACGTCACATTTAAGCTAAGCTATATATATATATATTGTTCCATCTATATTCGTTGATCTATGGATAAATTCTAAATAAACTGCATTCATGGTAACACTATCATTATGCTTAAGCATACTAAATTAGTATTTGGTATTCAAAAATAATATTTCGTCCTCTTTTTTATGATTGGTTTTTCTTTTAACAATTGATGACATTTATAACCTGTATATTTTTGATATTGATCTCCTAATAAATCTTGGTTGCTTGGTTGTGGGCCTCCATTCAGCAGATTAGGTTAGTATATGAAAAAGTAGCACGAAACGAGTGAGCGAAGCGAGCGTGTGCGCGGCAGCGGCCATCATTCAATCATTAAAAAAGATGGCCGTTTAGATTTTTTGCCTGCTGCTTTTGCAAATTTTGAATGATCATTTAAGTATTTAAATAAAATGCCTAAATTAAATAAGGAATATAATTAATTCGCTCCCTTGGTGTAATAAGGCCACATCTGCAGAATAACAACTTTTCAGGAGAAATATTTAAAGATGTAACGAACGGAATTATATTATCTTTTTATGTTTAAATAGGAGAGTTACAAAATTTCACATACACATAATTTGTTTTATTTTTTTATCTTATTTTTAATAAGGCCTGTAACACTTGGGAGTATCGGCCTTGTGATGTCAATCCCTGTGGATTATTCTACTCTATTGTGTCGCCTCTTAGTGAGAGACAAAACCTCGCATATGAGTACAGAGTTTTAGCCATCAATCTGTTTTATGTAACTTGTATAATTTTTTTAACTGTCATGCATTTTTAGCATTTTTGACTGATCACATGTGGCTTTATTATATAACCTTTTCTAAATTAGTTCTAGTCTGAATGTTCTGCGTAGTGTTCCGAAGTGAACTGTCCCTCAGGTACTCATCATCAAAGCCGTATATAATTTTTGCTCGCTCGAGTCTTACCATATACGCTTCCACTTTTACGGCAGTGGAGTGGAGTCTACTGCATGTAGATTTGTTTCCTGAACACTGTAACTTGAGCCTTTTCGAGGCTGACACAGAGGTCAAATGCGCACTTATTTTAACGAGACACGAGGGCGAAACAACCCTTAATAAAATTTGTCAGTAAAAATAGACACTTTAACATTATGTGGAAAAGAGGTTTGGCTGCAATTGAATAACAACATTCAAACACATAATTAAAGTTGATACCATTGACCTACCAACAAAGTTGATACTATCTCTTTTCTATTAATTAATATTGGTACTAGTTATTAAAAAAACGATAGTTTTAACATTTAAAACATAAAATTACAAACTTCAATACAATACTGTTACAGGTAGCCGATTGCATATGCCTCATGTCACTCAATCACCTGAAAGCCTTACCAGTGGACACACATGTGTACCAAATCGCAGCCCAGAATTACCTCCCACATCTAAGAGGAAAGAAAAATGTTACAGAGAAAATGTATGCAGAGATCGGTGATCATTTTCGTTTGTTATATGGAGATTTAGCTGGATGGGCACATACAGTAAGAATGACTATTTTTATTTTTTTATTTTTTTTTTTAGTGTTGGAGTGGGGTGAACTGGAGTTCTTATTATGACCGTTAAAGGTGCTATAAAATTTTGCCTTACGGTTTTTTTTATATTTTCCTTTCTTTTTCTTTTTTTTATGGCGAATTGGAGTTGTTACTATGACCTCGGAGGCGCTGTACAAACATTTTTACGCGGACACTAGCGACTTGAATATTGTAGACTTATGATAGAAGTTCAGTAGCAGTAGAGCTCCATGTAAGAGAGTTCGTCCAGACACACCTTACCTATTTCTGCCGCCAAGCAAAAATTCAAAACAAAAAACGTCACTGCGTTCCGGTTACGAAGGTTAAGGGGCTGGGGAAATTACAGGCATATGGGACTTGTGTCAACTTACGTCTCAGGGTGTCGGGCGCAGTGGCAGTGCCCCTCGGATCTTTTTGATTGGGACAGGCGTGTCGTTTACCATCAGGCACACGACTTGTTCGTCTCGTCACTTGTTATAAAAAAAAAGTTAATTATGGAAATAGCGGCCTATAAACATTCGCAATTCCAAGGAAGTATTCGTCAAATGCGTTGCCTGCTGTAGGACATTGTACATTAAGTCTCCTGTACATTCATATAAGCGACTGTCACCTTTAAATCCGGAACTAGTTACACTATTGTCCTGTAGAAATAGATAAGGTGACCTTGTTCTATTATTTACAGGTACTATTTTGTGCAGACTTGAAGAAATTTCAAAGCACAGACCACAAAAAGGAAGCAGACGAAGGGGTTAAAGCTAAAAAGAAGAGAAGACAATGAAGTTGCTGTTATAATTACATTTTTAATAGATACTAAAAAAAACTACATCGTAATTAAGCTATCATTGCGCAAAAGTGTTGCCCGCTTGCAAGCAGCTAGTGATGCAGTCTTCATAAATATTCTGTCGACAGAATGGTGATCACACTTTTGCCGTAAATAGCCGAACTTGTTTCATTTGAATCATTCTCAGCCCATTATTCGTCTAACTGCTGGGCACAGGTTCCTTTGAATTGACAATTTTTATAAGTTCATAAATATACAGGGTTATTTTTAAAATACTAGCAACCTCGCACCACTATATTACTAGCATCATAAACAACAACTTTTGCTCTGTATTTTCTTTAATACAAAAATAAATAGCGACACATTGTGTGACAGCGTCAACCACTCAAAAACGAAGTGAATAAAGCAGTGTGTTAGGAGCAAGCGGTCGTTTCACTCGTGTACTTAGGTATCCCACTCTTAACTCGTTCCGTACGGCACACTTTATTTATTTATATTATTTATCTACACTTACAGCACTTACCTATAACTAAACATGTAAGTCATATGACTATGAAAGATTGAGTCGATCCCCGGCCAAAAGTAACCTACAGAATTTGGACCACAAAGCTTTGGGTGGTGACCGTCTCCAAATCAAATAGTAACCAGCGGATGTTAGAAGTTTTGATTCAGTGTTATAGAACACGTCAATATCATATTTGTCCTACTTAGGGATTCCATCACGGGTAGTGCTTCAAAAAATGGTGTCCGTCTTAATGTCATTGTGCGGGTTACATTGACCTTCCAACGCGTGCTAAATGAAAATTAAACAGAGGGTATTTGCACTGACGAATGACGTAACGTGATATTGGCGGGATAAAAAAGGTATTTGAGCCAATATAGAAGGGTTAATATCCTCTTATTAAGATATATAGTAGTTTATGTGACTGTTACATAATGAAATGCATTAAAATACGAGTGTGGGTTTATCCTGTCGGCTCGTTTCATAAAAACATCTCACCGAGTGTTTTAGTGCCTAATTATGTACAGTTACATACACTGCTTTATCTACACGCATTTATAAACTCTCTGTCATGTGTTCAGGAACCGCATGTTACGACTGGCGAAATGGCGGTAAATAAAAACTTTTCTCACGCATGTCCTTAGAGGATGGAAAAAAATAAAAGAAAAGAGCTGCCTATACAGAATCAACGTGCTTGTAACCAAAATTTGAAAGTTACAAATGGCGGATTTCTTTAGTGTTGTACCATAATCTATCGATAAGTCATTATCGACATGCAAATGTATGGCTTGAATGTTGAAACAGTTTTTTTTTTGTTTCTTTAGTTTACTGTATCCAAAGTATGCCTTGTTTAGGAACACAAGTCTAATAATTTAATCTCGAGTGTATATTATTATTAAACTGAACGATGGCAAGGCAAGGCAAATAGGCTGTTTATACGTTGGTATTGGCCTTTACCCGGCAACGTTGGACTAACATGTCATTGTATTGCAGGCTTTAAAAAAATAGTCATTTTTAATTCTTGAGAGTTGTCATTGGGAAAAATCAGAAACGAGTGAATAATTTTGTTTTCAGGAACTGAGAATAACTAGTAAATGAGTCTTGTTTATCTTATTTGTTGTTGTTTATCTTGTTTATATAATCTACTACATTGAACATAAAATTATTTACCAATAAACCTAATGATGGAATAGCATTGTCATGTAATCTAGTTACATTCAAAGTTCTGTTAAAATTTGACTCTTCAAAATGAAGCGAACAAATGAAGATGGTCTTTGATCCAACGTTTATATTCGGCAGTCCTATTATTTCCAACCATTCTTTCTACCTTTTTTCATTTGTAGGAAAACTTTAAATAATAAAAATAATAATAATAATAAAACAATAAAAACCTCGTAGTGCATTGTTTTAATAACAGAATATCGATAATGTATATGCTTACAAGATCAACACTATCTCAAAATAATCGTTAACAACAATCATCAAAATATACAAACAAACAGGCAATCTAAAGTAACAAAAGCAAAATTTGGCAAGATTTATAAATAAACTACTTAAATAAGTCTAAATACATGAAATATTTTGGGTATTGTGTGATTTATAGACAAAAAAATAACACATGCCTGTGCAATGTAACATTCGATTGATTTGCACTTTTTGTAAAGCCACATCCCTTAATGCTGCAGCGTAGTATACTATATATAATACCTAATTATTCTCACTGTCAATATTTTTGTCCAATTTAATTATAATACATGCGAATAATTCAATAGTACATTTGGAAAAACATTTGTTTTGACATTTGATGTACTTCCCTTTGACAACGGTATCATGAACCTCATGTACTGCGAAATGGACACGATGGGCATTTAAGATGACGTTACGTATTTTCGATTCCCGTGTTTGACACAGACCAATGTAATGCTATCTCTTTTGGCTTAAGACGGCACGTAATAGTTAAACAAAGACAATAACATGTTTATGTTTTCGACGTCGAAATGCATCATATACATATACCGTCTGATTTATATTTGTCAACGTAACATGTCTTTAAGTTCCCATAGTCAGCGCATGTCACACAATCGTAGTTTTTATTTTTAATTCATAGACAAACTACAATCGGCCCCAACTATCATATCGTTCGATATATTCTCCCTCTACGTCAAGTAACGTGTGAAATTGTCAAAATTGTTTGCTAATGACATTGACTAACACCCGTATTCTTAAACGTGTCCTCAAGGTTTCCTCAAACTCAACCTCACCTGAGGTGTCCTTAAGGAATCCCTCAACACTTCCTCGAAGTCGGTATTCTTAAACGTCATTTGACAATTAAAAGGAGTTCCTCCAGTAAGGTTGAGTCGAGGAATGACGTCATTACCTCGAGTATTTTATTTTTATTATGTTGGCAGAATGTAGCCGAAATGTATACGAATGATAAAATATTTATGGTTAGTGTTGCTACTCAATCCAAACCGAAAAAAAATACCCGATTTTAAAGTAAATTTCTATTGACATGTATCGGTAATCTTGTTGATAAATATGGAAATTTAATAGTTATACTTAAAAAACAAACTAAATTAAGCAGGTAGTCATTCATTTCGAAGTAATCCTACGATTGTACATTAGAATCTTTGTTTAAATAATTATCTATGCAATTAGCATTTTAGGAATTTGAAAATTTGACATGGCAATAACTTCGTCCTGTCAAAACAAAATGCCATGTGTTCAAGCGGGTTTTGGGCCGACGTCGACGCTTGTTTTGTTTAGTAGTTTGTTGCCGACAGCGACGCTCATAGAACAACATTACTCTTAATATTAGGTATCTACTTTGAAAATAGAAAATGTCCGGAAGACAAATATTCACCGAAATTGAGAAAGTGTGCCTGCAGGAGTTAATAATTAAATATAAATTAAACTCAGCCGCAACTCTCGGAGCAGGAAACCCATTTGCAAATAGACAATAAAATATCAACAACTGTTTCTTTTCTAAATCGAAACCTTTTTTGGAATTGATCGTGGTTGTAAAATTCTAAAGGATTTTCTGCGTCTCTCAGATACCGCCGTGCCGGATAATCATAACTATTGTCATGTACGTAATCCATGAAATCCTCGAAATCGTCAAAATCACACATTTTAATTCAATACACGTAAAAAATAGCGTCACAACAACCGTTTTCTACGGTCGAGGAGGCCTTAAGGTTGGTCGCGAGGTACCTCAAGTTTGACAGTTTATTCCTCGACTCCACTGAGAAAAATCCTTAAGTCGAGGACGCTTATGTCAACTTAAAATACCAATAACCTTGGCTGAGGTTGAGTCGAGTGGAGGAAATCTCGAGTAAACAACTAAGAATACGGGTGTAAGTCAATGGCTATTGACGATGCATTGAACAGTCCCGACACACTGCGTCAGGAATGTTCGCTAACTTTCTTCACCCTCGTGTAATTTGATGATCTTGAAGCTGTTATGCGAAAAGAGCTACTGCCCTGATGCGCAAAATTAGTGGCAGCGACTATAAACTCCTGAGTTGCATTCAGGATCCAGGGTTCTTTTTGTAAGCACTAAACCCGAATGCATATTAATGAGTACATAAAAAAATAATAGTTATTTGTAATACTTACTCTATTTTTAGGCGACTTTAATAAAAAGTGGAAAGAGGTCGAAGCCTGGGTCACCACCGTCATCACCATTACTAACACCATCATCATACTCATCAATCATCATTATTATCATCACCGCCACCACCAACATCATCATTTTTAAGAAAGAAATAATCAGAAATTTTAACATATTTTCACCAAAATGGGTTTCCCTTATTAGAGTATTGACCATCCATTTAGGTGAACAAAATTTAGGTGCCTCACATTGAGGGGTATCCGAATCACCCCCATGTATGTTCTGCGATTTTTCGTAGTTTTCGAGTTATGATTTTTTTTAATGGATTTTTTTAAATCTTCAACTTTTCGAATTCGAGCTAGCCAATCGGAGCGCAGTTGTCACAGTAATGATATGGCAGAATAGTTTTCAAACAAATTAAATGACATTTCGTCTCTATTTCTGGGTTTTTTCTGAGTGCTCGATCTTTGTGTTCCTTTGTATTAAAATTCCTTCGATCCGGCCGGATTCGAACTGACATCTTCTAGCATACCGTGTCAGACATAGTATGCTAGAAGACGACTGTACGATCTTTGTATTAATAATTATAACAAACTAGTGGAGTCCTTTCACATAAAAAATAATTGAATATCAATTCAATAAAATTTCCTTTGATCGTCGGGCAATAACAAGTAGTACTTAAAATTTAACAAAGTTTGCAAGAGTTTATACTGAAAAACTGTCCTCTGAAGCTGGTCTCGATTATGATATTGCTCCTTCTATCTTCTGCTGTGCGCGTTGTAGGTTTGACATTGCAATTTTTTGTCCCTTTTGCTGTCGGTGCAATGACTCATCGTTGAACCCTTTTTAAAATTAATTATGCCGAAAAGAAGAATTAATAGAAAATTTCGTCCTCAAATTCCACATTCATGGTGGACTTTTGCAACATCAGGGGCCTTCACACCAACATAAATGCAGTTCATCAACACCTCGAAACTGCGCGACCGACTCTATTGCTTCTTACGGAGACACAGATATCATGCCCTGCTGATACTTCGTACCTATCGTATCGTAAAATTTTGTGTGTCGCGCTGGGGTGTGCGTGTACAACCGGAAGCCTCTTGCTCCCTCTTGCACCTCTTGGCTCATCGGACCATTGCCTTGTCCGGCCAAAACTTGCTTGCACACAAACCAATCTCCCCCGGCCCGCTGGGAAACGCCGTGTGGGGCACTATAAGTCAGCAGACTGGGATGGACAGCGTGAGTTCTACGCATCGTACCCGCCGTGCGTGGAGGTCCCTGGTGTTGCAGGCGTTCATAGGCGACGGTAACCATTTTCCATCAGGCGGGCCGTGTGCTTGTTTGCTGCCTACATCAAATAAAAAAATTAAATAATAATAATAATATTAAATAGAACCAACTTTTACCACTAATGCAGAACAACTGGTCTTGGTCCTTTATTGAAATTTGAGTAAGTACTAAATTTTGAGTACAAAATGATCTAACTTCACAGTTCTGTCAGTTTCAAGTAATAAACAGATTATCAACGATCCTATGGTTGCTGTTTATCGCATTGATTATGAATTTTTCTTAATTTTAAACTTCCGATAGGCCGAATACCGGATAGTTACCGGATATCCGTTCCATCACCATTATATATAAACATCATCAGCTACATCAGTATTATTAACATCTTCGTCATTATCATCATTTTAGTAGCAGTAGAGCTTCTTGTGAGAGTTCATCCAGGGAAGTACAGCCACCATACTTATTCCTTCCGCCAAGCAGGTTTACCGTATGAAAAGTCAGTTATCTACTGCATGTTTTAGTATGAATTACTTTAAAATCCAACTTGACTTACAACATCGTCGTCCAACTTCGTAGGACAAAACTACTAGGTGAGTAGTTTTGTCCTACGATGCAGTAAAACCATTGCCACAATTCCGGAATTCGAAACAAACAATGAATTAAAATTTGAAAATTTTAATAACTCTGTCACTCCTTGTAGCTATATCTATACATTACATGTATCTATAGATTTGGAACACTTTTTCCGATGTATGCAAATAACCTACGACAGTATATCACAATATGAAAAAAAAAAGGAGTTTGTACCAAAAAATATACTTTTTTCGTGTAAATTTCACATTTGGAAAATATTCTCGCAACGTTTCTGAGAATATTTTCGAGAATATTTCCGCATTCGAAAATATTCTCGGAAATATCCCATCACTGCTGGTCATAATATAACCTAATCTCTGCTGTGTTATTGCACATTAGCTGAGTAGATCCTTTTGGGTACATAGTTGTGCACATTGTTATAAATTTTATGAACGATTTATTGTTTGTTATTGAAAATGACTGTTTCGTTGTTTTTTGTTTTATTTTTACCTTTTTTTTGTACTCTGACGTCGTAATAAATGTTTTCCATTCTTAAATCAAAATTAAAATAATCTTTATTTCATAGGTAAGCTTTATTACACTTAAAATCGTTACATTGGTTAAACTCTACCGTTCATTCGTAAGGCAGATTCCCCTGAGAAGAATGAGCAAGAAACTCTAGGGGTTGCTCTTTGTAAATAACATTCGTACACATTCAACATTTACAATATATTTTTTTTGTTTTGAAACATCAGAGATCGAGACTACCTCCGTGAGGTAAACGGGTTATTACCACGGATTTTTGTCACGCAAGTACGCAAAAGTTGTATAATAACCTTTTATAAAGTTTTTGTTTGTAATGGTATAAGATCAGCATTCAATTACAGTGAAATATGTAATGAAGTCAATAATTCACTTTTTTTTTCTTCGACCAAGAAAAGAATAGTCAGTTAAAATTGTACAATTAATATTATTAGCAGATTTACCTCCTCTATGTTAATGGATAAATTATTATAATCGTACAGGTTTTTCCAACAAATGCAGAGTGATTAATTATACAGAGCGAACCAAATATGCTAATGGTCACTTTGCTCGTCCAGTTTGTTTGCATAAGCCGTCATGTACACGCGTTAAAGTACAACGAAATAAACTTCGCAAAACTTGTTGAAAAATTGCAATATAGTGCAGTGTTTTGTGCCATAGACAATAAGTGCCATTTATAGTATTAAAGTAAAAGAAAGTACAGATTAAAAGACATGTACGGTGCATTTATTTTCCTTGTTTTACCTATTTTAATAAAAGCGCACCATTTGACGTCGCCATGCCCAAGCATTTTTGAATATAAAAGAGATAACAGTGGTCTGCACGGAAAGATTCACCTGAGGAATAGTGGAATAGTGTCAAATGTTCTAATTAGAGCTAATTTCACTATTGCTACCAGATTGTCGAATGTAAGTACATCTACATGATAGACTAATATCAGTATGTCAGAGAAAGAATTCTGGACAATGAAAATCTTTACTTCCCCTAGTTCTATTGTTTGATAAGTTCTTTATTACTTAGAATTGTTTGTCCAAATATGTATATAAATCAGAGATTATACGAGGCGGGTTTGATAAGTCCGTGACTTTGAAAAGAAAAAAAAAACACTTTTTTAAATTATGCATTATTTTTCTGCGTTATCGCTTTTTAACTCTGTACACCTTGACCAGTGATATATCAACTTCAACCTATCAAAAAATATTTTTTGTCGACCTGAGAAATAAGCCTCCGTTTCGGCTCACACTCCCTCCCTCAATTGACACAAATCTGTAAAAAAACAGATAAAAAAGCCAAAGTTACAATAGTCAAAACTATTACAATAGTCTCTAACTCTTCTAACTTCTAACTCGACTTAACGTAACTCAAAATATGTGAAATATAATATTATATCATTACTGAACGTAAAATTTGATTCTGTTCACGTCAAAAAAACCGTCGTTAGAATATTGTAAGAAACAAGCAAAAGATATCTACTTAACTCAAAATGAGACACACTTTATGTGAGCTAGTTCTGGCCAAAATAATCCTTATTCAAAAACATGAAATTATTTTTTCCATTTTATTGTTAAATATATTTAAGAAATTGTTTAAGTGTATAAAATAAACTATAACATATAAATTTTAATGATTTTTTGCAGGAATGGAGTAATTCGTTTTTCATCGAGAAAAAGTCCTCTTTTTGAGTTAATACCATTGACCTACCAACAAAAGGTCAAAGGTTAATACACTATTTTATTAACAGTATAATATAGAAAAGTGGCAATAGTTAGTATAATAATTTGACAAGTTGTGATCGCAGATGAGAAACGAAATATTCGAAATTCCGTATTCACCAATTTCAAGAAATATATTTGACCTCACCTAACTTTTTAATTTCTAATTTTCTCGCTAAAAGTGACGCAATTAATTAGTTGTGCCAAGAGTTGTAACTTAAGGAATAAAAATAAATTCCGAAAAATGTTTTTGTCTCACGTATTATTGTTTTTTTTGTGACTTAATTATAACTAATTTTTAATATATAATAACACATAGAAATCAGTTGGTAAGCAATACTACGGTATAGTATGTCGTGGATTCAAGTCCCATCGGGCCGAAAAAAAAATGTGTTCGATCTTTGTATTAATAACCTAAAAAGTGACGTATTTATTAAACCATCCTCGTAAATAAATGTGAGGGTTTTAATGGAATATTAATGCTGCAGAGTCAGTACTACCAAAGACTAGAGTAATAAAGGAATCGTACTACCTTGTTGCATTCTATTTTATTTTCGCATGTAGACAAACAACTCGAGTTTCGTGCCTTTTCCAAAATGGTTTCAAAACCTGTCGATGATATCATCGTATGTGTCTTTTAACGACAAACATAATTATAATTTGCGTGTCTCTTATACTTGTGTTTTAAATTGATTTGCCTGATTACGAATAATATATTCGATAAAAAAGGTTTAGGTACACGTATTTAAAAAAAAAAAACAAATTTCGACGTAGAATGTTCTATTCATAATTTTGATTTTAAGACGAGTTTTTAAAATAACATGTCATAAGTTATAATTACTATAGCTGATCTGTGTGCTAATAACATTTTTTATATTTAGTCAAGAGCACGTCAAGCTTAAAATTTCATACTTTGGACCGTTCTTATAGTAAGCGGCATAGAGTTGGATTTAAGTCTTAAGTGTCAAGCTTGACATGCTCTTGACCCTGTTCATTTTGTATGCCCCAATACATTTTTTTAAATAATTGTTCTAAATAACCACGTAACAAATAAAAAATATGTAGGCGAAACAAACAATTCATTTTTAAGTTTGTAGTTAAGATAACTAACAAATTTAGAAAAACAAACCAGTAAATAAATTCACAAAAAAATATATTTCATTGAATCGAATTGTTACTAACAGTGTCTTTGTTTATTTTTTAACTGGGATATAAAGAATTTCTACACCATAGGAGGTATAAGGAAAATGTCGTAACAATCATTGGCTGTTTTTGTGAAAATAATTTTGACATGCGTGAGTCAAGCGTGAGTTGTGCATAAAAATAAATAATGTTGACTAATTTTTTAAACGACTTCAAAAAAAGGGGGAGGTTCTCAATTCGACTGTATGTTTTTTTTGTATGTATGTTACGCGATAACTCCGGTATTTGTGCACTGATTTTCATGATTCTTTTTTGTTGGAAAGAGGGTACCTAGGTAGGGTAGTGGTCCCATTTATATTTGAAGAAAATCATCCACCTTAAGAGTGGCTGTTCACGCATGACGATTAATTTTTGTAAATAGCGCCTAAATCTTATTATAAGGAGCTTCTCTAATTCAAGGCGTTTTTCTCTCAATATACTTTGAGTAGTGAGTACCGATTTTTATTATCTCCTGTGTCAAGTTCCGTATAGTGGTGAACTAGGATCCGGGTTTGCACACTTTTGAGGTAGGTTTTTTAGTACTCTGTATTATTTAAATTTTAAGAATGAATTCATTGTACAGGAAGAAAAAATCGAGACGGCAGAAGTTGGTCAAATATGTAAAACGTTTTTTTTAAACAATAGGGGGATGATTATCACTAGTATCAGGTTTCTTACCACGGTATGACTTCTTTTAATAGGGGAATGCTATGGAATGTAATCATAGTCGATGTTATTCGTGCACAAATTTTTAAAAGGTGCTTCATAAATTAAACCATGTCGTTATGGACTTGAAATGTGGAACGTTTTTATGGCATTTAAAAGTTTTGCACAGGTTTACGAACTCTTTGAACTAATTTAAAAACATAAAATTTTTAATTTAGAACCAACTTTCAAACTTGGCACAATTAAAAGACACCGTTAATTGTCATCGCAGCAACTTTCACCACTTTCTAAAGCCACTAGAGGTATTCTGAAAAGCGCGCGAACGGCATACTGCTGAATATAATGTGTATTCAATATGACATCCATCTTGCGAGATGGAGGTCATTGATATGAAAAACATTTTATATTTTTTTTCTTGACAATAAACGCCTGACCACATAATTGACTATCCTAAAATTGTTTTCATAAAAAGACGTCATGTTTCTTACGACAATTTTCTTGTCTTCTATGATCTTGTTTTCTCAAAATTATTCTATTTAAAAACACACTATATATCCTTGTCTTCATAAGATTCCAAATACTTGGAACCGGATAGCGTGATGTATTTAAATGTGAAAAATTTACAATATTTTAAGGTTAGCCTGTGTGTTAGCTAAACAGACCTTATAAGCTGTTTACAAAAAACATTGACATTCCGACAATAATATTATTAAACTATAAAGTCTGAGAACCGGTAATGGCGTCGTTGATATCTTTTGTACGAAATTCGATCAAGAGTTGTAATCAAATTACACTCATTTTTTAAATGTGAACAAAAGTCTTCTAGATCTGCTAAATTAAATTAATGCATTGAAATATATCCCATACCACCATCTGTAAAAGCAGTAATTTGAAAAAGAAACATCCTGATGAAACTTAAGCGCCGCAGCAGGTACGAAGTAGTGTGGAGTCCCCAACAGGCGTTAGGTCATCTTAATAACCTATGGTTTTATAGTAGACTCGTGCCCAGGAATACCACATGGTTGATCATGATGACGACACATTTGGCTTACAGTAGACTTAAACTTATTGAAATTTTAAAAGCTTAATTTGTGGATATGATTGAAAAGGTAAGATATTTTACAAAAACTAAGCAGGATGTTGAAAAAAAAAACAAAAAAAAAAAACAAAAAATGGCTAGTTCGCACAAAAGATGAAGGATAAGAAGATACTTTAAATAAACACTACCTCATTCTACATACATACTTATCAAGTCGTCAATCACTGTTATTTTACTGTACTACGTCTTACTTATATTTGAACACAGCCAGAAAGACGATAGATTTGTTATATTATTATTATACTAAATGCAATGACTTATTGTTTGAAAAGGAATATAGTTAGTTCTTTAGGAAATGCTTAGTTTGCATGGCACGTGTGGCATCAGTACGCAAAGTTCCACATACTGAAGCTCAATCCGCCATTTTCGCATTGTACTAAGTCGTGTCAATTAACAAACCTCGCAAATCGTATAAAAATATCTTGTTTTGCTACTTTGGAGTGCAAAAATGATAGTGGCACTTGTAATATTATCTATGGTGGTATTTCATACATCGTTACGTCTTATTTTATTTAACTTTAATCGTAATAATGTTTTTGTTAATAGAAACAAAAGTAAATCTTATACCGGTGCAATACGGTCCCTTCTTTTTTGAAAAACTAAGTAAACATATCGGAATCGTCGTCATTCAGCTATTGACCGCTAGGTGACAGCACATTGATTTAAATTTCGATATAAAGTCTAAACGTGGTGACGTGCAATAATAGGTATTGAATTTTCAGCGATATGCCAGGTGTGGATTTTATAGTGTCATTACTACATAATATTAATATATATAATTAGGCCCGAAGATACTCCCTTGACGTACACAGTGAATAAGCGAATTTGATATTTGTTTTTTTTTGCATTTTTTTGCATTGCAGACTTTGTTAATTGAATTCTGACCCAAACATAAGATTTCAATACAAACAGAGAGCTACTTCGAACACCGTAAATCTCCAGATATCTACAAGCATTTATTATCACCAAAATCAAAAGCTTCCTTTTTATCCATTCCTGAATATGCTCTACATAAAAACTTATAAATCGCAACATCCATTGATCTTCCTCTTCTTTTCTTATTTACAAAATAATGTTAGGGTATTGCATATGACTTTTTAAAAAGTTTTTGAGAGTACTGGTATCTAATAAACAGCTTGCCACGTGCACTTTTTCCCTTCACTTTTTCGAATTCGAGAGTATGATTTCTTAATGAATGAGAAAGTTATGTACAGTTTGGGTTTTACCTATCGTGGTGGGACCCTCGCAA